TGCGCGCTGTGGGAGCGCCGCTTCCAGGGCCTCAGGCGGCTCCGAGTTTCTCCTGAAAGTTGCGGTTTTGCCGCCTGTACACTCGACATATGGCGTTTTCTTCAGTAATCTACATCTGAAATAAAGTATTTTGTGCGTCGCTTGGGTTTAGATTATCCGTGAGCAGGCATAACAGCAGGCGTGATGTCATTGCACCGCTCCCCCTGAGTTTGAGTGCGTTACCCCTTTCTCTCCCACTATAGTTCGCAGAATGTTGGCCTCCGTGATTCCTGAGCTGCTCCAAGCCTTTGGCTTAGCTCGCTCCTGGAGGAGTGGCCTGATCCTCGCGGTTCCCAGTGAGGCCTTGCAGCGCCCGGTCGGGTGCGATCCTGCTTCCCCGCCCGGACTCGCTGAATACAAAGCTTTTGTATTAAATACAAGGAAGGTGCTACTCCAGCTCGGGAGTCCTGTGTGGGGTTATACAAACTTATTCCAAGCCTTGCATTCCTGGTCCTAACGGCCACTCGGGGACAACAGGAAGCGGCCACATACCAAACACGCCTCGCAAGATTTTCCTTCCTATTCGAAGTACGATTCTGATTGTGCTATCGGATACAAGTCGGATTATGAGATCAAAGCTTTGCAGGCAAACAACTTGTGCTTACTCTTTTGCTTTTTCCTCTTTCCTTCCTAATAAACTAGAGTGCCTTTTTTCCTGCCCTTTCTCCAGCTACTCCTTCCTGTTCTCTCTACCACTTTGTGGCACAATTACCTTTGTTGTGCTCAAGGACTTGATTGTCCCTTCCACGTTGTTTTTTAATATTTCTACTGTTTTCTTTAAAAATCTGAGGAAATACGATGTTTCCTCCAGTGTAGGCTGTTCTGATGCTGTGCCTGGTATCACTGAAGGCACAACAACCATGGGATGGACAGCCAGGATCTAAAGGAACAACTACTCTTAACATCACAGTCATTACACTGCATGCACAACAGAGAGAATATGAGATGCTCCCAAAACTGACAGGAAAGACACAAGTGTCAGTCTCATAAAGTCTATCAAAACTCATATTCTTTCTCTTTTTTTCCTTCTCTTTGAACTTCCGTTGTAAATGTAGGATTTCTAAATATCATGTCTATTATTGTTCCAAAGGTCAGAAGTCTGTACTAGTTATTTGCCAGAAAATGTTATTCTCTTTCAACTTTAGTACATAAATATTGTTTCCAGTGGTGTGGGAATCTTCAGAGATTCCCTGCCAAGAACCAAATGGAATAGAGAGAAAAGTCCTCGTGAGTAACTAAGGAAAAGAACTGAAACATGAATCATTGTGTATTAGGAAATATTTTTTTCTCTTATTTTTCCTTTATTTTGTTTTTTAATCTGAGATGTAATAGCAAATCAAGAGCTTTACCAGCTCAATTTATATTTAAAGATTGGGTAAAAAATTAGTCAATTCTCCCTAGGTGCAGGTGGCTGGGGAATAAAAATTAATGAACAACTAGCAAGAAAGCCTCCAATTTTGGTGAAATCTGCACAGTCACAGTTCTCATGGATCTGGAATAATTTAAGCTCTATTCTTGGTTTTCAGAAGGGAACTCCTTTTACCACCTATTCCAGCATTACTACAATGAACATAACACAGAATGGACACTCAGCATGGGAATGAGGTTAGTAGCCTAAAAATTCCTTTTTATTTCTCACACAAATTCCCATACTGAACACTGCCTACAGCCAGGCACAGGAGCAGTGAGGGAGCCAGAAGTATTCCATAGGAACCAAAGCTGCCATTCCAGTTTATTTGCTTGGCTCAACTGACCCATGAAACAAGACTTCCCTCAGTCCAAAAGTACCTGAATTTGGGTAGGTAATGGCTCTAATAGCTACAATTTTTTCATGGGCTATTCCAGCCATAGGGTTTATTTTCCCAGCTACCTGGAGACAATGGAAATGAGTGGCATGATCCTCACTGCTTGGTGAGTATTACAGCCAATGTCTCCCCATAGTAAAGCTGACATAGTTAAACACAATTAAAAGGCTTTCACAAGTGAGTAATTTCAGGGCTGGGATTAAGGGATGTGGCCAAGCAGGACATCTATTGTCCACACAGAGAGGAAAATTTGCTTCCCCTTTCTCTGGATTGTATCTGTGCACAAGTAAAGCATCATCACTTACTGCAAAGTTTTTTAATTGAAAATGAACAACATCTGTATCATGTAAGAATCAGAGGTGCTTTGTTATTAATATGAATGAGTTGCAGTCTCAGGAGATTAAATGTTTCTTCTTTGAGCATCTGTGAATTTGGGAAGACTAGCTGAGTTACAGACTATATCTCCGTTCTGCTTCACTGACACTCACAAAGATGCTTTTTAATGTAATGCCTTTTGCCACCATGTGCACATGCCAGATTCCTCAGGGTAAAACCTCCTCACTTCTCCCACTGGGAAAGATTCATAATCATCATGTGCTGAAATATTTTTAACTTTCATTTTTATATATTCAATATATTTAGTATCCTGCGAGTTCTATTACAGCCCAGCAATTTCCTTCCTCTCATTCTTCAGTCTGTTAGGCTATTGGTTTTAATTTCTTAGCTTTGGGAAAAAAATCCCTTTGGACATTTGTGCACATCTTTGGCAATAACTACTAGGTAAGTATGTGGTTAACATACCACAAGGACACACAAATTAATTATCTGCCTGACTAGAGGAAAACAAAATATTCTGGGATGCCCAATGGGAAGAACCTCTTCAGACAGTTTTACCATATATACCTATTCTGATGATGAACTTCCTGAAAAACTGGGGAGGTAACGGGATCATTAGGAATTTTGTGAGAGCTCAGCTTTTGCAGAAAAGCTACATTTTTGCAAGTGGCACAACACTGCACAGGTAGCTACGCAAGAACATTGATCTCATGGCTATACCAGCATTTTGCAGCTCCAAATTTCCATTTCTGAAATTAAAAGTGAAATACCAAATTATTTTTTGCAAAATCTAGAGCTTCAGTTCAAAGGATAATGGTAAAAGTAGAAAAGAAGAAACAGAACTGTGAGATCATTATCTTTCTGCCGTGTTATAATAATGTTAGTTTAACATTCAGTTTTTTGAAACTAAATCCTCATCTTTTTTCTCTTTAACCCAAGACTAACACAGATTTTCTTCTAAAAAAAATCTAGTACAGATTTTTCCTGAAGGGCTTTCGTTCCATATATAGATTTTTCCTGAAGAGTAGAAGCCACGTACACATAAGCAACTGCAGATCTCCTTGTGACAGTCAAACACTTATTTTTCAGCCTTTATCAACAATACAGAAACAAATGGGGAGTCTGACACCTTTTAAATGTGGTAATGGAACACTTTCTCTTACTTAGGTTTTACCTTCAGTGGCAATCTTCCTTGCTTTTCACGTTCACTGTCACACATCTGTGATGGTCTCTAACACGCTGAATGCTAGTGTGAATGCTACTGTGCCCTGACAGTAGGCAATCTGGATCTGCATGTTCTTTGTTGCTATAATCAGGTTACAGCTTCAACTGAAAGATTTTCTTCATTTGTCATTGGAAACATCATGCCAAAAAAACATTAGAAAGTGGAAGGTGGGTAAAAGAATGGTCTGGGCATAAATAAAGATGAGTTAAGTAACAAAAAGAAAGAACAATCTCAGCATGGGAAAGTCTCCACCAGAAATTTGGTATCAGTTGCCAATTTAACATATCTTATTCCCATTAATTTTTCAGGGATGTTAAGAGTTGTAAAACTATAAGCTGCAAGAAGATTTCACAAGCAGTGAGGATTTTGTGTCTGTGACCTGTTATAATAACCCAGAGAGAACATGCAATGAGATTTGTCTTTTTTAGTGATTAGCTATTTTCAGAGGCAAAAAGCCAAACACCTGCATAACATAATGTGACCATTCTGTGTATCTGTGGACAACACTTTGGCCAACAATGTTGAGCTGGTAAAAGAACAGGGCATGCCTACAGAGAGAAGCCCATTTAAATATGATAAAATTAGAGTAAGTAGGATTTCAGTCATTCCCCTTTTTTAAGTAAATGGAGTAATTCCCCAAGCATGTGGAAAAATAATAAAAATCTGCCAAAGAACAGGCCAACAGTCTAGACTTTTTCTTAACTAGCAATCATTTAAATTAAGAAACTGTGAATAAATGCCTGACAGGCAATTTCACTGCTTTATGCAATCAAATACATGCTACTTATTTGTGAAAACCTATGAGAAATATTACAGCATTTGAATTGAGACCAAGGCTGGGGAAGACTTGCATTTCTTACTGTTGTCTTGCTGCTGGTGTCAAGGCTCTTTTTAACCACAAGCTTTGCTATTGTAGCTTAGACCACAGTGACAATTCAGCCAGATACAGGTCTCTGTGTTTTGTGCCTGTGTATAAACTATAACTTGATTATGAAGAAATGTTGCACAGTTTAGTAGACTCAGTAGAGGCCTGGGAGCCAGGAATGCTTGGTGAGGTCATTGCAAAGTTATGAAGGCCAAAATTCCCTGTATCATTCTCTGGTTTTAGTAACATTTCAGTGCTGTCCATCTGACTTGTTTTGATGAAGAGGGGATAAACAGCTCCTGCTGGCAGGAGTAAGCAAAAGCTCAGCTCCTCCATGCTCTTAAACTGGGTTCCCTCGCCTTGAAGCGCTCGCTGTCAGAGGCAGTTGCTTTTATCATCTGCCTTCACAGGATATCTTGCATCCTTATGATTCCTTATGATCTCTTCTCCAACTTTTAATAACCGTACAGAGCTAATAACATGTTTAGTTCCCTCATCCAATCACTACATATGAATGAGATGCTATCAGGAAACTCACTGAAACAATTAAATCTCAGGCATGTGGAATTTCCAGAAAGTTCCTGTTTTCAGCATGTCAGTTTTAGTCTTCAAATGCAGAAGCATACAGCCTGCTCACATGATGACAGCAGCATAACAGGACAAACTGTCTTCTGCAGACAAAATCCTAACTATTTTTAACTTTAGAAAGATCTGCAGATGACTCTTCTTCCACTCAGTGTGGTTTTTCTCCCTTCCTTATAGAGACTCTGCCCTTGGTAACATACAGTAATTCTGTGTCAAGGGATATTGATTCCTAACAGTAGCCCAAAGCCTGTGGTGGCTTCTTCCAAACAGCCAGAAACTCTCCTGCATCAGACAGCTGAGATGCTCCTGCTCAGAACTCTCTTTTACCTTCATGCTTCAGAAAGTTGAGACATCCAGGGGGATGGCTGTCCTTCCTCAGCTTCCTCAGGGAGGGACACAAGCGTGTTCCCAGAGGAACAGCCTCACCAGGGCAGAGCAGGAGCTGAAAGTACAGCACCAGACAGAGCCAACAGAGTTAGACTTCTCCTGGAAGACCTGCTCACTTTTCCATACACCAAACAGGGAGGAACCCTCATTGCAAACCCCACCATCCCACCCTGAGGGGTTGCAGCATCTCCCAGCTGGGATTTCACCCAGGAGGGGAGGCTATGTCCAAAGTACAGCAACTCCTGGAGTGTGTGTAGTCCACAGGGAGGTAAATGTGAGGGGAGAGGGACATGATATCTCATCCTGTGCTCTTCCAGTAGATGGTTGTACTGGTTGTTTTTTTAAATGCTAAAAGCACAACCAAACCTTGGATGAAAGGAAACACTGTGTATGGAGCACAGGAAGAATTTCCTTTACTGTAACTCTAAGGGAGAAAAGGAAATGAAAGCAGAGCAGCAGTTATATGAAGGTCAGATGATTGCATGAATCAGAGGGTGATGCAAGTTATCTAGTGCACAGCTGAATGTTCTGCCTAATAAAACAGATGTCACCCAAGTACACAAATACCACTTATCTATGATTGCTTACCCCCATGGAAGTAGTCTGCTTCCTCAGAGAGGCCTGAGGATTTTTAGGAAAATATTTATTAGGTAGGATAGCAGTGATGACAGTAATGCAAATGCAGTTTCTTAAGATTTTTAGGCATTTCACTCCATGTAGGTAAAAGCTGAGACACAAACACTCCCTAGTCCAAAACACTGAAGAGGTGATGGAGGCTGCTGTTGGGGTATTTCCAGAGCTGTGTCTGGAAATTTATTTGCAATTTCCATTAAAAAGGGAAACACAACAAAATTCATGCAGCAACCTGCTTGGCCCATAGGAAGAACACTGACTTCCAGAAAAATCCTGACACCAAGAACAATCTTGTCAAGGAAATATAATTTTCCATAGCTGTATATGAAGTGACTGCACAGGTGGATCCAGCAACCTTAGACTTTTCTAGAAAGCTGAATGGAGCTGCCTGCCAAGTGCCCTTACTTCCCCTCCATGTGTCAGGGATACTCTCAGTGCTATACCATCACTCTAAAAGCCATGGATGGTACCAGCAGATATCTCACTACCTTTTCTCAAACTGCTTTAGTGACTTACTGTTTTTTCCAGAGCTTCTGCCAGTGGCAGACATTTTCCATGGCAGTCCATTGCATTGGAACAGATGGATTTTATTGCTATCTTTATCCAAGGCAAAATTGCCTTTGCAGTAGAAGTGTTTTATGTAAACTATTGCTGTAGTGGTTGCTACTTTGTGAACTATCATTTAGTCTCATGATAGGAGGGTATTTCAAAAGTCCTGCACTTTTGAAGAAGGTACCAAGAAAAGTGGAAACAGTTTGTGGGTTTGCAG